CATCACTTGTAAAAAAAATCAATAAAAATCTATATACTTCTCTGATACACTACTGAATTAATAAATTAATCAGTAATTAATTACAATTCATTAAAAAAAAGTAAAACAGTCGTACTTTACCTATAATAATCAAACTGTGCCATATAATAACAAATAATACAACTACTAGTTTCAACTTGGAGTGAGTTGGAACAAGACAAATAGTCACACCTCGGTGGAATAGGATGGGTGATGATCACTTAAGGTATCAAGTGAGGATCCATGTCTTCTGTTGGTGTGAGGTGGAAACAGAGAAGATGATCTATAATTCATGCAGCGTCTCGGTGTAGACATTAGTGCCAGAGTGAACAGATACTGAGGGACAGGGTGTGGCAGGTGCAGCAGCCACGCTTCACAGCAGGGACTCACGTTTTCACTGCAGAACAGCATGGATACTCCTCACAACTCTGCACACTGAGCTGAGCTTTTTTCTCTTTTTTTCTCCTTTCAGGACATGGACCTGATTGACATACTCTGGAAGCAAGACATTGATTTGGGCGCCTGCAGAGAGGTGTTCGACTACAACCATCGTCAGAAGGAGCATGAGCTGCAGAGGCAGAGGGAGCTGGAGGAAGAGAAAAGGCTGCATCTGCTGAGGGAGCAGGAGAAGGCACTGCTCGCTCAGCTGCAGCTTGATGAGGAGACTGGAGAATACATTCCCCGTGCACAGCCGGGCGCCCAGCTCCAGTTGCCCATCCCACCTCTGGAGGTCACACAAGTAAACACTTCTTATTCCTTCATGACATAGAAGATGGACCACACCCACCAACATTTGATAGGCTGCAGATTGTAGCTAGGTAACAAGATGATCCTGTATAATTAGGGAAACACAGAGGAGGTTGTAGATTTGCATGGGTAGAATGTAAAACCGTAGTGCTATAAAAATCAATCTTCGAGGGGTTGAGTTAATAACTTTTGTCTTAACCTCTTTTGCAGAATGTCAGCTTCACAGACGAGAGCAGCGACCAGGCCATGTTTTTTGACGATTATTTAGAGCTACTGGCGGAGACATTTCCTGTCGCGGAAGTTGAGGTAAGAGTGTTGACCAACTTATTTTCATATTTTTAACATAATCGCAAGCTGCGACATAACACTCTATATGTCTCTGCCTTATAGAACATCCCAGTTTCTCTGGACACAACTCTTGCAGTGCCCAGCAGCAGCAACATTTTGATGTCTCCAGAGCAAATGCCTCTGCCACCAGATTCCCTCACCCCAGGTCCACTGCCTCCACCACTAACACCACTCCCTGCACCGAGGATGAGCCCTGATTTGGAACAGGCCTGGATGGAGCTTTTGTCCCTTCCTGAACTGCAGGTATACAGGGATTCTTTTGCCTTCAATAGTAGGATGGTTTTTGTCTGGCTGAACAAACAGCCAAAGAATGCACGAACCACAAGAGCCCAGTGTTAGAGGACAAAAGGTCTTTTTTGTTTGACCTATGAGAATAAGATCTCAAATATGTACTGCTCATACCGTTGGGATCTGTTCTCACGTGTGAGGTTAGACAAAAAATGATGAATGTTGTTTTTGTTCTTTTTCAAAAGCATTAGTTATTTGCATGCATCTTATGAACAAAAAACAGTCACATAGGTATTAAAAGTTAGGAAGTCAGATTAGGAAGAAAAACTTGTTCTTCAGGTCGCTTATCTCAACATGCATGTCTGTCTAGCAGGAACCAACCATATGTTAGAGCCAATTTTTATGGACTTGTCAATAGGGAGTCTTGCATTGAAAAATGAGTTGAATGTACACGGAAAAACTATATTTTTTATACATTTAAGCCTGTTTGACCATAGGAAAAATCCAAGTGTTTGTGCAGTAAGCTAGTTTGCTACAGTAACATGCTACATCTACCTTTTTGTCTTGGCTTCACCAGCAACTAATTTGTCTTTGTAAAAATTTCTACAAAGAAAACATAAATAACCAAGGATTTTTAAAAATAATCTTTGGTTTAATTTTTATTTCTACTCTAAACAGTTTTAGGCATTGAATAAGGTTTTACTCTTTAAACTTCAAAGTTTAACACCATTATGTCTTCAAGTTATCTGTTGAGTGTCAAACCTGTGAAAGACATGTGAAGCTACGGTATGTTGTCTTAATGTGGGTTATCAGTTTAGTTTCAAGGCTGTCCGTATTTGCTTAAGCACATGATGTAACGCGTTATGTTGACATCACGGTGTTTTGAAGTGAAGGGTATGGGCCAAACATCTTAACGTTAGCATGCCTGCGCTACTTACTCTGCGACGCAGCTGATAAAGATGCACGTTTTCAGTTTTCAGAAGCTGTTTTAATGTGATAAGGTGGTCACTCCACAGCAACACCAACACAGGCTGACAGTTGTGATTTCTGCCGATTCAGTGAATGTTTCGTTATTACTGTACATTAGTACAGGAAATCTTGCAATGCTACAGTCTGTTGGTTACCAGGTGGAACCTTACAAGGCTATACTGTATAAATCAAAGCTCTTTGACTGTAGCTTTATTGTACAGGTTAAAGAGATTTGGCTTGGCAAAAATGCAACAAGGCAACCTGGTTCATGCAACAGGATTTTAAGAAGCCTTTCACATGCTTTTAAAACCATAATCAGGGCTAAACAATGTACATACATAATTGCCCTAATGTCAATAATAACTCTCTGTGCTATTTTCCTTTTAGCAATGCCTGAACATGCAAATGGAAGACACGCTGGAGACCAACTCTTACCCTCTTCCAAACAACCCTGAAGTCCAGAATCCAAACTTTTACGCCATGGCCAATATCCCAGAGGGGGAAATAAACAGTTCAGTTGTTTGTCCGGAGTTTATTGGTACATTTGATGGCTCTGTTTCTAGCATGTCCCCACCAAACAATTTCGTCCAGATGGATAGTGAAACTCCCCAGTTAAATTCTAACTTCAGTTCTGAGAACATCTGTGACATATTCTACCCCCCAGTCAGTCTGGAAGGGAGCAGCAGTCAGCAGGGCCTGGAAGGAAATCAAAGTCCAACCACATCTGAAATCTCTAACAAGTCTTCCTTCACACACATGGAGCTCTACAGCCTGTCACCAGGAGAATCATTTGACAGTGGCAACAGCAATCCAGGCTCTGAGATGCCAGACTCAGATTCTGGACTGTCCTCCAACACAAGTCGAAATTCAAGTTCCCCGACTAAATCCGCATATGGGGACGGGTCGTTTGGATATAGTGATTCTGACATGGAGGAGCTGGACCACAATCCCGGAAGTGCAGAGTCTGACTACTCTGAGATGTTCTCCTTAAATTTCCAACCTGATGATCTAGATACTCCACTGTCTATATCCACATCAGTGGGGCAGCCCCAACAGCAAAACAAGGAGCCCAAACAATACCAGATGGAATTAGCAGAAGAGAATGGCCATAGCAATGCTCCCTTCACCAAAGACAAGAACAAGAAACGCTTTTATGTGCGTCTCCCAAGAGACGAGCAAAGGGCCAAGGCTCTCAAAATCCCCATGAGCGTTGATATGATAATCAATCTGCCTGTTGATGATTTCAACGAGATGATGTCCAAGCACCAACTTAATGATGCCCAGCTGGCTCTGGTCCGCGACATACGCCGGCGTGGAAAGAACAAAGTGGCTGCACAGAACTGTCGCAAACGTAAAATGGAGAACATTCTGGGTCTGGAGGGTGAGCTGGACTCACTGAAGGACGAAAAGGAGCGTCTGCTGAGCGAGAAGCGCCAGAATGCCACTAGTCTGAAAGAAATGAAGCAGCAGCTCAACAGCTTGTACCTGGAGGTCTTCAGCATGTTGAGAGACGAGCAGGGGAACTCCTACTCCCCGTCTGAATACTCCCTGCAGCAGTCCACCAACGGCAGCATCTTCCTGGTCCCACGCATTAAAAAGACTTTGAAGAGCAAAGACAACCACTTACATTAACATGGTACTGCATTAACTTAGTAATGTAATACTATGCAATTAGCTAGTAGTCGCTCAGCTTTTTGGCTTTAGTAGCTCAGCAGAACTACTGTATAGTTTTTCGTTTACTTCTCCCAAATGTGTAATTATTTTTGATATTTTACTTTTGTACTCCTGATTCTTTAACCAATATTGTTGTAAATATAATCTTTTACTTGCAGTTCAGATTTATAAAACCTGTTACATGGTGTGCGTGTATATAAATATTGTATATATCACATTTCTCTATGCTAATGATTGTTTCAATCATTGCTTATATTTTGTATCTTTGGCATCATGATTTTCCTGTTCTTTTTTAAATGTTCCTGCTTTGAAATAAAGTATTCTGTAGCTACACGGTCTGATATTTCTCCACTGTTAGGTAAACTCTGACCACAGATGGTAACCAGATGGATATATAACATACAGTGATTATGTAACTCACCACATGTTCCAGTTGGGTTTTGAGACAAAGGCTTTAGAAATAAAAATCTGTATAAAGGTAACTCGTGTTGAAACCTGCTGCCCTAGTCTACTTGGGTTTTGTTGGAGGAAGTTTGTACAGTAACCTAAATCCTTTAATACTGTGAAACTGCAATGGTGGATGAAATCACGTCAAATGCATTCATTATGTCAAACACCAAAGAGCCCTGTTGAGCAACAGGCACAGTGTAAAAGCAGGGTGTGGAACTGTATTGAGGACTAGTGGAAAAATGCCAGTTAAATGTCCAACACCATTCTCATGATTGACATGTGTAACACAGCCGTTCAACACATTACAAGTAGCAAATTTGATAGGAAAAAAATAGGAGACTTAGGAGCACACATATAAACTTCATTGTAGTTCGGAACATATGTAATGTTAATTTAGGTGTATTGCAGAAAGACAACAAAAAACAATGGTTGTGTAATAGATTACATGCAGGCTAGCTAAGTTAGTAGAGGTACCATAAAGATGCAAAAGTAAAAACAAGCTATATAATAAAATCGTAAGCAAAAAAAAAAAGGCATAGAAATTAAAGCAAAGTATAATAATAAAAAGGATACTAAAATATTTGTGAATAAATGCCTGTGGTACCACAAATGATATAGAATTAGCTGAAGAAAACTTAGCTAAGCTAGGTAAATGATGTGGCTTCATTTGTTCAAGTTAACAAAAATGTTACAAATACAAAAATATTTTTTCAGCATTGATGATTCAAGCTGATGATTCTTCCTGTAACAAGCTGGTGCTTCACAACTAGCTTGAACACAAAATAAATGAAACCTGAGGAGTTGTAACAAAACCCAGTAAAAACTCATTAAATAAAAACAGTAAATAGACAAGTTTAAAATGCAACTACAAATACCCAGCATCTATTGTGTATGTATAGGTGAATGTAAATAGACTACACCCAAGCAACCCAATTACCAAAGTTCCTGAGGAAGAAAGTTAAACAATAATAAAAAAAAGTAAAAAAAAAATACTAGTCAACTGATAAACGGGTTATCAAAGTAACATAAATACTTTTGTATATAATATAATATATTATAACAGGCCAAAGTTACTTCAAATTATGCAAAATCAAATCAAATCAAAACCCCAGAACAAAAATGTTAGCTGTTAGTTATTTGAGTTGGCCCAAAAGACTATTTTTTTAATCACCCCCAAAACTGTTACTTGTAAAAAACTTTAAGCACATTGTCCTGAAACCATTAAAATGTCACAGGAACAAAACCACCTTGTCCAACAGTTAAGACAGCACTGTGGATTTACGGCCTTGTGGTTTGGTAGAGTCAAAGGTAAAGTACCTCGATAATAACTTTGATCCAAATGCACTTTTACACAGTCAGCACCCTTTGATTCTACAGTGGGTGTGTCAAACTAATGTGCTGGGCAGGGCTGGATCAAGAAAACCAAACATCCACAACCTCTGACACTGATAACAGTTGTGCCACTCCACAGATAACAAATATTTGTGCTTCGTGATGCGCTTTCAAGTACTTAATAGTAATCAGAAACATCATGAAAAAAAACTCTTTATTCAGAATACACAATACAAATAGGCAACAGGTCAAGTTAGTGACAGCGGTGAGACAAGAACAGATCACTAGGTTGTTTGTCCACATTCCTCTTATGAAATACAAGCGCTTTGGCTGGAAGACATTATCACACCTGTTTTTTTTAAACGACAACCTTTTGACTTGGATCTTAAAGGTAATCTTGTCAATTATGTAAAATCACACAATATAAGTTAATATTTAACTATGTAAAAGTAGTTCATGTTGGTAACATTATAAACTTAGGGACACAAGTCCTAAAATTCTCAAACATACTATGTAAAGATCAGTTAGTTTAGAGGGAGAACAGGAGGGAAACCATGAAAGCAAAAGTTTCCTTTGACCTTTGAACTTACTTCTGAACTTTGTGGGGGTAGACCAAAGGGGACGGAGAAAAAAAAAACCCCAAAAAAACATCCCAGTCAACTCTTCCTGAAGACAACATCCTGTATTTACACACGGGGTAGAGCTACACTAATAAGTTAGCTCTACATTTTAAATGTAATGTTCCTTTGGTTGTTCCAGATACAGTAGACAAAAATATACTACATTTCACCATGTTCACTGCAGTGCACATGATCATAAACCATCAAGTATAATGGAAGTTTTGATTTTTCTTTCTAACATTTCAAGACATTAAACAATGCAAGTACTTCTCACCCAGAGCAGTCAAAACAAACTGAGTCCAGTCCAGGCCTCCTCTCTACTCAAGTCCAGGTTCAAGTCAAGTCTCAAAGACTACAAGTCATTGTATAAAAGGCTATTTCATGACCTAAGATGTAAAATAATGTGGCAGAGTGTTAATTATCTTCACTCCTCCATTTCCCCATATTGCCTGCTCTCCTCTCCAGTAACACCAACCATGTTTAAGTCTTCACTACATCCATAAATCTCCTCTGGGGTCTTCCTCTTTTCCTCTTCCCTGGCAACTCTATCAAATCAACAACTATCAAATTTTGTCCACAATCTCCACTATCTCTCTAACTTTATCTCATAACTTCAAAACCTTCAGTGACCCTTTGAGCAGCTAATTTCTAAGGCCATACCTTAACATTTTAAACTCTACCTCTTCTAGCTCCCTCTTCTTTTTTTTTATAGCAGGTATTATTTCTCCTTATAAACTTCTTCGATGACAATTACCTCCGATACTGCTGATCATCATACCTCTTCACTCTAGATAAAAACCTCCCAATGTCAAGGTTTCTTCCACCTGCTAACTACCTTTACCAGATTACAGTGTCATCTGCAAAACATCATGACTACCAGAGTGTACCTTCATCTATCGACATTTCAATAACCATAGCAAATAAGAAAGGGTCACCCTCCCCGTCAGCACCTCAGTTTCTCCCTATGTATCTAGTATCATCTGTGTGTTGTTTTGCTTAATAACAGTCCAAGTCCTTATTTCAATAATCAAAGTCATGCTGGCTTAGATTGGTGTTGTCAAGGTTACCAAGGTTGAACTTCACTGATGCCACACTGAGAAAATGTTTGAACTCTAACTGAATAATAATACAACTCACCATAATATTATACTCCACACACACATATAGAATTTGCTTTGTGTGGCAGGATCAGATAAAAATGAAACATTGCTATAAATCCACAGTTAGCGTAGAACTGTGAATGCAGCTTTATTTGAGGGGTTCCTCTTCAGACATCTAAATGTGTACATTTGTCGAGTAATTGAGAGAGAACAGCTATTTTTCCAAAAATATAAAAGAATATTTTGTAAATATTTTAACATGTATTTTTGTTCTCTGCAACCCTTGATCATATGACCGATGGTTGGTTCAGGGCCATTGGTCTAAGACCCCTGTGACTAAAGGTAGTGTCTTAGTTATAGACTGGTGTCAAAGAGAAATACTTCTGCAGGTGTTCATGCTCAACTAAACTTAACAAACAAAAATCCCCACAACACGTTATATTACAATAGGTGCAGCCATGGTTAATATTTTGTAATAAAAAAGGCTTACCCATCCAGAACCTCGTTATCAGGTCTTAACAGATTTGCAGCAAGGAGAGAATGCCTCTTTCCACATCTGTAAATCAAGCAAAGTGGTTACTTTTGCCTGCTCCATCTTCCGAGGTCATCTGATTGTGAAATATTTCCTTTTCTCCTCAATTTCTGAAATCTATCTGGTGCAGGTAAAAACTGACTGATCAGGAACTCCAAAGTGTCCAGGAACTAGTCTTTCTTCGCTAGCGCCAGCTGCTGGAGAGTCTTAGCTAGCCTGGACAGTAGGACAAGACGCTCACTACCAGGCACGACACTGCAAGCTTCCTCCATGGGCGTTGTGCTCGATGCTGCCTTCGCTCCCTCTCTCTTTTCTCAAAATGCTGACTGGTCCACTGTGCTGGGTCTGAAGGCGTCCTGTCTGACAGTCATCTGAAATCTTCCACACTAGTGACACTGAGGGCAAAACTGCAGGTGTTTGAGGGACTGGCAAAGGTCCTAGAACTAACCAAAACTGGGACAACCTTGTAAAAACCTCCTGACAGACTTTCTCAACTTCAGTCACAAGAATCAGACAAGAGATTTAACAACTCATCAGGTCTTGTTTTGTTTTTGTTTTTCTCAACGAATAATGCACTGAACCTCAGCAGTCTTTACTCCACAACTTTATTCATTCGTTTTCTATGAATCAAAATATTAGAACAATCTAGAATTTGATTTACGAAAACAATATGAGCGTAATTCCCTTGTTACTAATCCAAACTTATTATATTTTTGGTGACACGAGCACTGCCAAAGATTTACATAAAGTACTTCACATACAAAAACAGAAAATCAAAATACACTTGTAAAATCATGGTGAATCATGTTAGTATGTCATAAAGCGAGGTTCTAGCTTTTCCAACTATGCACTGTGACAGGAACCAGCTTAAAGGATAAAAAAAGGATTTGACTGGCAGAAAATCCACCAATATATAAATGAAAACAATAGGAAGTAACTTCTGATTAAAAAACTCGTTATCACTGATCTTATAGGCACAATATAGACACTCAGACGGACAAAGGGAAGTATTCTATGTGAGTTAACATCTATTACAATTAGGGAGGGCGTCATCTGCACTTAAGTCTTGTGTATACAGTCCTTCTTGCTGCAGTTAAGTCTCACTCTTGTGTCCCTCTAATGCTTTCAGATGACTGCCTTAAAGTACCCTGCAGCTGTCCTGACATTTCCTTTGCTCACCTCCTCGACTCTCCTGCTAAGAACTGAAGCCTGTTGAATGGATACAGGATAAAACAAATAGTTATTCTGCACTTTCATAAGCTCACTCTGTACTGGTGCTAACAGAGTGCGATGCAGGAAAAGAAAGGAAACTCACTGAAATGTGTCATATTTCAATACCGCCTCGAACCGTAGCCTCCGCCTCCACCGCCACCAGAGCCGTATCCACCTACAGTAAAGGGTTGGACAACAAAATGTCTCTTTACTTAGTTCTAAAGAAATGGGAGCGTCAGTCATAGCGTTAAACTCACCACCATAGGGTCCACCAGAGTTCCTCCCACCAAAGTTGTTTCCCTTCATGGGCCCATAGCTGGACTGGTTTCCACCATAGTTTCCAAAGTCATTGTAATTACTACCTCCTCCATAACCTGGAGATGCAGAGGTCAATCTTACAACATGGTTTGGTTCCAGCTGTCCACTAACATCACTTTATATGTTTATTTTATAGTCAAGTTAGTTTGTTTTTACCTCCTCCACTGCCTCCATAACCTCCATCACAATTACCACCAAATCCTCCTCCCTGGTTGCCATAACCTGGACCACCCCCACCTCCACCTCCGTAGCCCCCTCTGCCTCCTCCGTAACCTGGACCTCCGCCATAATTTCCTCCAGGACCTATTTTGGTTAAGTGCACCAGCATTTTTAAATTTTGAGTTGTCATTTGTTTTATGCATGTTTCAAAAATGTCTGTTATTTTACAACAACTCACCATTGTCAAAGTCATCTCCATAACCCCCTCTGCCGCCTCCGTATCCACCTGGTCACAAAAATAGGGTTTAATGTCTTATTAGTTGGTTTTGTATAAAACAATGTATTGTTTCTCCAACAACATTTTAGCAAAATCATGCATCATTGTGAAATATGATGACAAAATATACATTTTTATCACTACCATTTTATCTAGAGTAACTAAAATTACACAAAAACAAAATTATTTAGAGATGTAGAGGCACATACATTATTATCTACATAATAACAATTCTTCTTTAAGGTCTAGACCAAGTGTAAGCAAAGTACTGGGTCTCAGTTTTACATGTCTCCTGTGAGTAAATGCAACTCCCACTCTGTACTAAATCACCAAGCATGTATAAGGCTATAAGGTTTAAAAACAAAAAAAAAAAAAAAAACAAAAAAAAAAAAAAAAATTTAAAGCGCCACATCTGAAATTACAGCTGTTGTTGAATGTTTTAGGACAATTAATACTGGGTCTACAGAAGTACTTCGAAACTGACACAAACAAATGAAAATAATTAACGCCACGTAAAAGTGCAGTCAAAGCTTTGAACACTTAATCAAGTGTACAAATGTTACTTACCTCGGCCAAAGTTACCACCACCTCCAAAATTATTATTCCTCCCCATGAAGTTCCCAGAACCTCCACTTCTTCCTGCTCAAAAGAATGAGACAATTTTAGGTTGTGATAAAAACACAATTATTGATCCCATATGAGCATGGACACACATACAAGAACTCACCCCTGTTGTTATTAACGGCACTCATTTCCTGTTTGGAGAGCGCTTTTCTCACCTCACAGTTGTGCTTGTTGATTGAGTGGTATTTCTGAGCTGTAAGCCAAATAGGGACAAAATAGTTTCACAAGTAATTACTTTAAAGCAAACACGCTGGTCTTAATTCAGAGTCAAACTCATTTTGGCATCAAGAAACAAACAATCCTTGATTCTAGACTCTTATTCTTCATCAGAGATTGAGACTCACATGTCCTTATAAAATGTCAAACAGATTTGCATAAAATTAAATAGTAATATTTCAGTGACACCAATACATTCCCACATGTGCAGTAGAGCAAAAACAACATCATGACTAATGTATTAGCTGCACAAGAAGTCTTACATACCAACAATTTTATCCACAGTGTCGTGATCATCAAAAGTAACAAAGCAGAAGCCTCTCTTCTTTCCAGTGGCGCGCTCCTCCATGATGTCAATTGACTCAATCATTCCATATTTTTCAAAATATTCCCGGATGTGGTACTCTTCAGTGTCCTCCTTTATTCCACCAACAAAGATCTTCTTTACGGTCAGGTGGGCGCCTGGTCTATTGGAGTCCTGAAACAAAATGCATCGGTGAAGAATAGACACAAGATAAAAGCAACCACTCTGTTGGATCTGGGACTCGTTTACCTCTCTGGAGACGGCCCTCTTAGGTTCGACAACACGACCATCAACTTTGTGAGGCCTTGCTTTCATGGCCTCATCGACTTCCCTTACAGAAGAGTATGTTACGAAGCCAAACCCTCTCGACCGCTTGCTGCCAGGATCTCTCATCACCTAAAGACAAATTGTGACGTTATGGTAATGACAATGTGTTCAGCAGTGTGATTCTATATTACATGAAATGACAGAAGGCCTACATACCACACAGTCTGTAAGGCTTCCCCATTTTTCAAAATGGGATCGTAAACTCTCCTCCGTGGTTTCAAAACTCAGACCACCAATAAAAAGCTTCCTGAGTTGCTCAGGCTCCTTGCAGTTATGGTCCTACAAAGGCACATCAAGTTATTTAAAGACACTTACATAGAGTAAAATTATTTTTAAAAAGTTTACAGTGCAATGACCTAACTGTTTCATACTACTCTTAAATGTTATTTGTATTATTTTAAAAAGTATTTAACCAAATATTAAGACCTTCGCGTATTTCAGCTTCTTAAATTTTAATGTCCTGACTTATTTGCTTTGTTTAAAGATGTTTTTTTCCTATTCACCAAGTGATATTTTCCAACACTTAAAAATACACAAGACCACCTTTTTTGGTATAGATGATTTGTAAGAAATTCAATTGCTTTAGACAAAACCCTAAAATGATTGTGTCCATAAGTCTATGGGAGTGAACTTGTTTATCTCAAAAGAGCAAAGAGAACAGTACATGTACGATAAAGATGTTGAAATAAAATAGATATACTTCTGGTTCTTAATTTTGACATAAATGGTTCATAACAATAAATGCAAATATATAAATATTTCAACTTCATCAGTGTCAGTGGGGTGAGATTCAGTAATATAATTGCAACCATATGTTACAGTATACCTTATTAACAGGACACCTAAAGATGAATGATTGAAATAGGTGAGAATGATTTTTATTGTTTTCATATGAAAAGTGATCTTTTATGGCTTTCATCTTAATAATTAAAAAGCTTTGAGCTGCGGGACGTAAAGGTTTGTACCCATATTGTCAATATGCATTTCATTATTTGAACTAGTGGCAGCTGCGAATCATTGTTTATTTACCACAAAAACGGTTCTATAACTTAACTAGCTTGTAACACGATTGGTCTCAAAAACAAAAACCCATGTATCTTGCATGTTCTGGCTCAACATAATGCATCATTGTTTACCATTTAACTATATACGTCGTAGTTTTGAATAAATACATCCATGTTGTATATTGTAGGCTGCTTATTGTAGCTCCTAATCGAGCCCCATCGTCGTTAGTATTGTCGGACGAGGCTCACTGTGAATTAATAGCATTTATTTTCAAAAGTTACTATTTACTTTATTTATTTACTATTATTTGAAATCGCCAAGCTACTGCTAACATTCGAAAGCTAACACAAACAGCGCTAGCTTTTCGAAACCACTGTTAACTTAAGAAAACAAAATCTCCTCCCTCAAAGATGTTGCATGCTATTATTGATCAATTACAGTCTCTCCCTGGTAGTCCTAATTTTTATCTTAAATTTAAAGAATTCACGAAATCAAAAAAGTCAGGTACCCGCAGCTACTTTTGGCAGCCATTAGCTTTAGCAGCGGGTGCTGTCGACGTGAGCAGCGCTGACCCTCAAGCAACCAACAAAAACGAATATTTAGAGACATAAGACCGTAAAATATCGTCAATATTGCATGTAAGACACCTGGGCTCTGGTGCATTACTATGCCAGGGTTTAATTTGCACAGCAGTCAGGTCCAGCTTACCTCCATTTTGCAGTTGACCGCAAACGTAACGCGCAGCTGTAGACCCGTCACGTGACGCGGAAACCGAGTGCAGAAGGGGGTGAAGGACAATCCACCTTTTTAATCACATAAAATACAACAACGACTGTCGCGTGTCGCACGTGTAGTGTACACACATCACCACATGATGACTTCGTTTCTGTCTTTGGATTTGATAGAATTATTTTGTCCGTCTTTAATGTCTCAGTGCTTTTTTTAAGGCGATAGGTTGTGCCATCTACCGGCGAAATTCTGCAACTGCGATACCTTCTAAGAATTAAACAATTGGTTTACTGACATTAAATCTACTCTGTAATACAATATACAGTAAAGTAAATGTTTATTTTATCACGGTAACTTAACGTTTCTTTAAATATTATAGTGAATAACATTCAGGGCAACGTCACCAACGCAGTGCAAAACACACTAGATAGCTTAACTGATTTGTTGTGTATTTTAATAAATTAAGTATGGCTTTAAATAGTAAAATTATGGAAGGTTCAGAGATTTTTTTTCTGTCACATCTCTTTAAAACCTGGCATCCCCTGATGTAGTTGTATTTTTAGAAATACGTCACTGTGTTTTTATTTTAAGACGGGTTACCCTGAAAAAGATGTATGACCTTTGAGACACGTTGCTGAGCATTGTTGAGGCTGACCCGCATCTCCAAATATATGGTTGTTTTATGATGTAGACAATGTCTGTCATTAACTTTATTGTACAATGTGTGTGAGAAACTGCAGTTCCAATAAAAGGGTAATATTTTCTCTGACAATGATATTGATGTGTATTTATGATCAGACCAGAGTTCATATTCAAGAGCCAAGTTATACTTTTCTCCTTTTATTTGAGAGTGTTCAGGGATGATAAATATGTTTGTGGGCATAAAAATGGCAACAAACCTGAAACTAATTTTATAAAATTAGTCAAGAAATTAATCAAAACATGCAATCACATTCAAAAACTATCAGCAGCACTATTGCCACAGTGGTCTATTTTTCTTTTTTTTCCCTGATGTGTGATGATGTAAAACCCATATCCCACTTTGCTAATCAGACAATGTCGGACCGTTTGAGGACACTGATGCTGACAATAAAGTGCTATATTTTATCTGTGCATTTGCAATCGACACCTGTTCAGAGACGCCATTGTCACAATTGGCATGTAAGGCTTGTGTTAGCCTCAGTTGTTGAAGCAGAGCAGATGGTCAGGAATATTGTCCAAATGTCATGACAGTTTGGTCCTGTTTGTTTTGGATCAATCAGAAGTTACAATCCCTAGCAGAATTAGAATACATTAGAAAACAGTCATGCAAAACAAACTTGACAGACTGGAATATTTTACTTTTTTTTATTTCTTTAGAGGTTGTTTTGCAACCAGCATGTATTTGAATTAGTCTATTTCCAAAAGTTACTGTATATCTAAAGATAACCAACAATGCTTAAACATTAGCCAGGTGCTAAAATACTAATCTGGAAGAGTCTAAAATAAAAGTTAACCTAAATAAAAAAAATTAAGACAAGGATAAAAAAATGAAAATAAATAAATTAAATAATAAAATAAAAAACCAATTTAGCACAGAAACATTTTTGCTTTTAACACAAATACCAAAACAATAGCTGGAAGGAAACCAGACGAAAGCTAACTAAAGACTAGATACATAGACAGATAGATTTATAGATCGATCTCATTAAACAGCTTATTTATCTAGTCTAAATATAACAACCAACGTGTTAAGTAGACATAAAAATAGCCAAAATTAATGTAATATAAATATGATATAATCTAAGAAAGAAATATAAATAATCTAAATTGCCAATAACTAAGGATAAATTAGCCAAAAATAGCTAATGAGGCAGAAATAGAAAACACACAAAACCAAAACAATATATATTGTCAGGAAATTATAACTGAAAAGTCATATCGTGGCTAGAGGCTAGTCCAGAATAAGACCACAGTTAAATACAGTCAAAGACAAGACTAATGGATAACACTGTATGAGAAATGATCTGAAATGCCCCTGAAACACATGTCACAGGGACAAAAGTCTTGAAAGTGCCTAGTGTTCAGTATCAGCCTCTCGCAGATACAGTTTGACGGATGCTCTGTTTGCACCTCCACTTCAACCTCAGGACAACATGTTTGTTTGCTCGTTGATCACATCCACTCGTCTTTGTACCAAACTGCCCTCTGACACAGAGATACATCACAGGACCCACACACTGCTGCCTGCTACACACACTCTGTGTTTGTGTGGTTCTTTGCCAGCAGCATTTTAGGAAAACAGTCAAAGGTGTTTTTGTTTCTAATATAGTCTTAGCTCATCTTTTAATCTCTTCCTCAACGGTATTTATCACAGCTGCATATGCTCACAGGCCTTCATCTAACGGCTCAGTGCAAGAGGAGCGAGATTTAAATGTAATTAACACTTCATTTACATCAAATCGAGTTGAGAAAAAAAGAGGATAAAATTATTGGTTAACGACACACATAAAGAAGTCATGATTTGCTCTGATTTATATTTACAGCTGCACAATCTCACTGCTGATTGTAATTTTTTTCCCTGACAAGTGAGTGATATAACGATGGGCAGAAATAGAGGGGGATGTCATCCTTGGTGTGAACTAAAAGGAAGCACTTAGAACAGAGATTAAATAATTAATACAGGTTTTATACCCATTTTACACCTCAAAATTATGGTTTGCCATATATCTGAGAAACAGCCACTGAAGAGTAGCATGTCAGCAAAAATTTAATGTACAGTAAATCTTTGTTAGGGAGCAACGGTGGGGCCGCAAATCACGTGTGAGGTGAGGGATGACATGAATATGACCTTTTCCCCCTCTCATCCTTCTCAGGTGGGAAAAACACGGTAGAGAATTACACATACTGTATAGTGTACACTTGTGTATGAAATACTGTGGTGCTGTAACTACTGCATTTATTTAATTATATGTATCAATTTATTTATAGAGAGCAAGGGACTATAATATTCAAGTTTCTGAACATATTTGCCAAACTTGAGAGTATAACCATATTTAACACAAACAGAAACAAAATATTAACATTATTACCAGGTCGACTTCTCCTGATAGGCTGGTCCTTATTTCACATCAACCTTTTTTAAAAAAACCTCAAGATTTAAGTCAGGTCTTCTCATCATACATCCTCTCTGTACACGTACTCTACTCCAGCTGTAGATATGGATTAGTGTTGCTTTTCATAGTATGTTCTCCATTACTGACTAGCAAAAGAAAATAAACCAACATTAGGTGGCGCCACATCACAATGCTCCACAGTTTGTTAAGAATCAAACAAATCACAATGCTTATCAAAAGAGGATTCCAAATCCGCTCAATCTTACATGTCAACACGACTGTAAGCGAATGCAAAAACAAACGAATGATTGTGACTTCATACCTTAAATATGCACTATCTGTAAAAAAACCCAAAACAAACAAACAAGAAAAGCCGTCTTCAGAGCCTCTTTGTCCTCTCTGTGTCCTCTAGATGGCAGCATGGTCCATGGAAAAAAGAAATCTATTTTATTATGGAATTATCTCACCTTATAAATGTCAAATAATATTCCTCACAACTAAATCACTATCTTCCCCCGTGTCTGACTTGGTGGTTATGTGCACTCATCTCAAAACTCTAATTATATCTGATTCTATTTGTTCACATCGTTGATGTCGTTATGAGAAGAGCATTTTTATAATTGGCTTTAACGCTGCTGCATCAGAAATGAACCTTCTTACAGAGATAAAAGTCTGGATTTATTTTCCTTTGACTCACGTGTGTTCACTTTGTCTCAGCATTCGTCACTGTAGCTTTATTTATGACGGCAATGTTGCTCACAAACCCTCTGGTGCCTGCTAGTGCCTGCTGGTGTCCAAGTTGACCTTGTCCAGAGAAAACCTGGACTTGGCTCCATGTCTCCATGTGGGAAACCTGACTGCCATTATCGTAGGGTTGGGACAGACGGACATACGCAAATGGAAACGTGGAGGAAACGGACATTCAGACCAGGGAAACCAGAGAGTCAATTTAGTCAGTGTCCACTACCTTTTCACATGCAAGTACAAAGGCCATCACAAAGGCTGGTGTTGACTGGAATTCCTCTCAGAGGGGATTCAGGGAAAGAACAATTCCCAGCATCTGTTTCCTGTTCTCTTCCATGCAGGAAACTGGATGTAAATCACACCTCATATAAATAGAATCAGAATTCAATTTCACTGAAATATTGACATAGAACTGTAAATTAAAGTTAGGAATTATGTTATTTCTCTTTTTCATATGCCGTAATTTCATATCCACAAAAAGTCGTGTGCTTTATTTTGCCATTCCAAACGTGTTTTTAATGGAACTAATTTCTTCTACCTTGTTTTGGTAATGATATTTATTTTAAAGTTATTTTAATAACTTTGTTATTGGAGAGACTCTTAAAGAACTACTTTACGTCGTTATATTAAAGATCGAATGCATTTCTTTTCAGCAAAGCAGGTCTCAATATTTAAATTCAGGAAGTCCCCCATCCCTCCGTCTCTGTCCTTGTGATCCCATAATTCCTCAGCATCACTTCTTTACACATCCTCTCTGAAATTTGTAGCCATTAAACTCATTAGTTGTGGAAAATGAAGGCATACCGTCAAAAACAAATATAAAGTGTCATCCATAAAGATAGTACATATTGAGAAAAATAAATACAATAATTATAAGGACAACACAGAAAATTAATAAAGTTGTGGTTCTAAAGTGTTTGATTCAATGCCATTTCTCGAAATATATTTTTTCCTGACGGAGTTGACTATGTGTACAATGTTGTAACAATAAAGATAAAAATAAACCAAAGTTATAGTCATATCCTAGCCTTGAAGTCCTGTTGCTCTTCCATAAAAATGTCTGTGTTTCCTGTCTGCTAAACTTCTACAACTATCCTGACCAAACCTCTTTGGATCAGAGAAGGAACAAAATGTTCTTTCTTCTTTCAAAGCAGCAGAAGATGATCCAGGTTCTTGTTGAGCTCCTGCTGCCTGCCAAATCAAAGAAATACAAAAAATAATGAATTTTACATTTTTCTTCTTGGCAACACATGCCCTTCTTGTCTTAGAAATGTCCTAAGTCTTTAGTTGTCAT